GATATTAGGCTGCATTCTTTAACTACTTAAACGAACTTTAGTTATATTTTTAGATTTAAGCACTTTACTTAACTAATGTTTTTGCAACCTTTTTAAAGAACTATTAAGTAAGGTCTTTTTACCTTGTGTATTTTTTTTAATAGCTCCTTTTATAAATGTAAACTTATTCTAACTGCTAACTAGTTAACTATACTTTTATAGGCTTTATTATAATTATGCTTAATTAAAAGCTTAGTGAATTAGTTTATAAAATGCCTGGCTATTTTTTATTAAAGCTAGATATGCTAGAATAGATTCTTTAATATTCTTTAATTGCCTTTGTAAAGTAATAGTAATCTTAAGGTTAAGGATTTATTAATATGGATTCTTAAAGGTTAACTTTTACAATAGCTATTATAAGTGGATCTTCCATTTTATAAAACTAGTTCTAGAATATAGCTTTTTATAAACTTTATAATAATAAAAGATCTTAAGTTTAAAAAAGATAGTATAGTATTTATTATAGTTAGTAAGATAATATGGGAAAGGGGTCTTAATATTAAGTATAAACTTACATATTATATAGTACTGCTTATTAATACGCCCAAGCCTTTTTAATAACATTATTTATGGCAGTTTACTTAAGTACTCTTTAATAAACCCTAAATATTAATATTAATAAAAACTTAATTATTTATATAAGCATTCTTAAAGTTACGCTTTTAATTATATATTATATTTTATATTATTTTAATAAATTAAAAAAAATACGCTATACTATTTAAGAAATAACTCTTAATGTTATTATTACTTGCCTTAATGCTAGAGGTTATGTAAATATTAAAGTTATAGTAATGATAAATATAATAACATGCTTATTAAACTTTAACCAATAGGTAAATCTTATATAAATAGTTTAAAATCACTTATTAATTATTAAACTTTATATAAAGATATATTTAAGCTTATTTATACTCTTTTTTTATTTTAATAAAAAATATATATTTCTATATAAAAAAAACTCTTTAATAAATATAAGGGATTTTTTTAATAATTATGATTTTAAGTAATTATATATTGGCGGTATTAAGTTAAGCTTATGGCTTTATAAAGATAATTTCACTATTACTATTACTAAGACTATTACTGCTTTTTTATACCTTTACCCACTTTTATTTAAATTTTAATAATACATTTTAGTTAATATAATATATATAAAGCTGCTATTATATTATAAAGAATTTATTATTAAAGGCACCTTTTATAATGTTATTAAAATTAATAATAATTACTTTAAGCTCTTTAATAAAATATAAAAAAATTAACGCATGCTTTTTATAAAAAACTAAAATCCCTCCCTTCTTTTATTATTAATTAAACCCTATGTAATATTATATATTAAACTAAAGCAGGTTTAGCCAGTAATTTAAAAAAGAAAAAGCTTATATTAATTAATATTATAGGTATTATTAAAGTTTATAACCTTTAAAAACCGCTTTTATATTTATAAATAATAAGGAAAGGTTTACATAAGGCTAATTAACTAATCTAGTTTATCATCTGCTTATTTAATAAAGTATAAAATCTTTTTTTTATTAAAATGCTTAATTAATGCAGTAGTAAAAATATAATTATTAAGCTTTTTATAATTAATTTATGCTTAAATATTATAAATATCCCTTTATATAAATATAATATTAAAATACTTTTATTTTATTATAATATAAACATTATATATTTAAATACTTACTTAATGGTTAATTAACTTAATCATTACTTTTATAAGCATAATAAGGCGGCGATATAATAAGTATATAAATATAGTTATATTAAGTTTATAATTATATTAACTATAGTCTGGATTTTTATAATGCTTTAAAAACCATTTGCCTTTTTTAAAAGCTTTAATAATAACCATTCATTAACATCTACACTTTTATAAATATAAAGACTAATGCCTTTAAACACTTTAAGTTAACTAAACTAATTATATTAAAAAAAGTATTTTATTCTCCACTTTTTATAAAAATATACATTTTATTAAATAATTCTAAATTTATTTTCTTTTATAAAAGTATTTATTATATTAAAAAAAGCTTTAACTAAAGGCACTAAATTATTAAAAATAAGCAGATTTAAAATTAATTTAAAAATAAATAATGTAAATCATTAAATAAAGGATAAGCTAATATTAATTAATATTAACAATGTTTAAAATAATTATAAAGGTAGTGAGCATAATAAATATAGTAGCAAGTATAGTGAAGGGGAGTTATATATATTTAAGTTTAAAGATAATTAGCCTTATTTATTTTACTATACTTATATTTCTTTATATAATCAAGCAAGGTTTAAAATAAGTTTTTAATTATTATTAATAACCTCCTGCATAATGCTTATAATAAATTTAAACTTAACTTTTATTAATGGCTAGTTAAGGGAGGGCAAAGGTCTTAACTTAAAAAAGAGAGAAATAAATACATCACGCTTTAGGCCTAATATAAACACTTTAACCCACTGCCTTTATAATTATTTATAAAGAAAGCTATTATAAAGATATATATTATAATTAAAATAAAGATTTTAAAATAACTTATAAATACTTTATAAACTATAAAAAAGTGGTAAAGTTAAAAACCTTTATAAATATATAATAAAAAGATTATTAAGCACATTATAATTATTATATTTATAATATTAGTTAATATTTAAAGCTAAATTGCTAATTAAGGTTAGTTATTTATAAGATAGTTATGATAATATAATTTAATAACTTTAATGCAGCTGTTTCTGGGGCTTATTTTAATAACTTAGCCTTATAATTTATTATGATGTCTTTTAGTGTTGTTGGCATTAGTGTTAGCATTTTAAAGATAAGCTTTACAGCTTTATCTTCTTTAATAATTAATTACTAAGACCTGGGCTTTACTGCCATTTAGCCTGTTTAAAGCTTACACTTTAAAAAATAAACATTATAAATTAAATAAAAGCATTAATATTATAAAAAAAGATAGTTACAAGCTATTTTAATTTATAAATTAGGAAAGTGAGGGTGCGTTTTTAATTTATAAATAGGGAGGCTTAGTGCGTTTATGCATCTTTTCAATTTATAGATTAAAAAAGCTTTAAGCTATAAGATAATGATATTTAAGGTGGAGGCAGCAGAATTTTATTTAAGTTAATAATTTTTTTCTAGCTAATTAAAAGAAATAAAAAGTCATGTCTGCATAAGATCATGCCCGTGTAGTAAAAGGGTCATGCCTGTGTATCAATTGCCTATATTTAATTAAGATATAAAGGTTAATAAAGCTATTATAGCTAGATTAATAAAAGGCTATTCCTTAACTTTTAATTAAAAAGTTAAGATTAATCCTTAACTTAATTTAATTAATAATAATTAATTAATTTAAACTTTAAAGATCTAGGGTATATAAAGTATAATTATTATAAAAAAATTTAAGATTAAAGTTAAACTATTTTTAAAAAGTAAAAAAATTCCGGCTGCCTATGTGCTTAGATTACTCCTGCCGTCGTGATGTAATCCCATGGACACACTTAGAAAGGGGATCTAGATTACTACGGTCGCTATGATTATTAATCTAGTCTTATGTTACCAGCTGCAGGGTGGCTTATGCAGCCGGCCTAATCCTATGGCATTACGCTATTGTTATCGCACAGCTAAAGGCAACATTAAAAAGTATAAAGGTTAAGTCTTTTATTAATAGGCCTGTTTTGCTCTTCTAAATCTTAATGTTATACTGCCAGCCTTACAGACCATCAGTATCGTTTTCGTAATCAACATCCCGAACTGGCCAGCCACCGATCGCAGACATCCTCGAAACCGGAGTTCCCTCCCCACCCCAAACCGTGTGTGCAAAAGCATATAACAGATCGATGCCGTTTAAGAAGGCCCCGCTTGTCCACAGTTTGCCATCTCTGGCCCATCGTTTCTCAACCCAATTAATGCTTTGCGCCTGTTGGCGTAGTATGTCCATCATGAAACGCGGGGCAGTTGCTGTTTTACCTCCCAATATACCGGCTTGGACAGCAACCTCCACTCCAGCACAGATTGTGAGAAAGGCAGAGCAGTCATTCCAAGCTTTTCTTACAAAGGCCAACTCGGCATCATTTGGAGTGTAACCAACATTATGCGCACCAATGAGAACTACATCTAATGGCGGACAAGTCTCAAAGGAGTGCTAGTTTGTGTAAGCGACAGGCATGCAAAGAAAATTAGCGACAGACTCTAAACTCACTGTTGGAACTAGAGATATGGCACTTGTCAGGCGGCTTTGCTTTGCGCCGCCTACCTCAGACACCCAATGGAAATTGAAATTAAGTGCCTGAGCTTTAACATCCTTTGAAACCCACTCTTCTGGCAAGGTTTCGATGAACTTTTTGCTGAAACAATGAAGCATATCCACTGGCGCAACATCAAGAATTTCTGTCTCGCTATAGATTTATTAGTAGCGAATACGATTTATAAACACAAGAAATGCAAACCCATTCATCAGTATAACGCCGACTTCGATTGGCCTGTCTGGCTTCCCAAGATTAAAGACGGACATCTTGTAACAAAATCAGAGGGAAATATTAAGTTGCTTTCATGAAAGACCTTTTCGTTTGTCGTTTTACAAAGTCGGCTGAGTCTGGAAAAGTTTCTGAAATTTATACACTGCCCGCCACGATGTTACTAGACCTACACCCGAGACTCCTCGGCAAAGAGATTATCAGCAAGCACTCTCTGGAACTTGTGTGATTAGGGTAATCGTATGATAAAGGTTGGGTGTGTATCGAGAATGTATCGTGATCGTCGCAACATCTCAGCATGCCGTGTTTTGCTTATGAATAACATCCGAGTCATTTCGGATGTGAATGATTTCATATTGCCAGTGTCGTGTTCCACCTGTTCTTGATGTGAGTTAGGGCTCCACGGAAAGAAGATTGCCAATAATTAAGTGCTCGGACAAGGGCTCTTCTTTGGCCAACTCATTAGTGTGGTCTTCAGATGCGCAACCGGATTGGCTGACTCGGCCGACTTTGTCATAAGTGCTACAGCCAACATGGCCCACGGCAAGCTTCCCTCCTACATCTACAGGTACCCCACCTTTTGGGTGCCTAACCACCAAAAACTCCCACCCGTTTGACTAGCTATCAGACAAAACGACTACGATTTTTTCATTTACGGTCCCATCTGGGGACCCTGGAGAGATGGAAACATCTGCAAACCCTCCAGATAACCAGAACAGAACGAAACCCGTCGCCCCCGGACCAGCGACAGCCTTCCAACCACCGAAGGAGGTGACCCCCTCAGGCCCAAAAACGGGAGAGGTTACGGTCCTCCCCTTCACCCCCAAGAAGAAAAGACGCTTCGGAGAAGCCCTCGGCGCGGACAAAATGCCCTCGCCCAGTTTCAACAGAGCAAGACCGAGCGCAGCGGCGACGGCGACCGCGGCGCAGACAGCCTCGAGAGGCCTCATCGCCTCCATCTTCAACGGTGCAAAGGAAGCCACCGACCTAAACAAAGAGGGGAAATCCCTCACCAGGAACAAAATCATGAACCAAATCAACGAAATCAACGCACAACAGCGGGCCAGACAAGACGTGGTATTGAACATAGCTATGGCTATCGACTCCTGCCTGGCGCAATACACCTCCCAGCTCTCCTCAGCGGTGGCAGAACAAGTCCGCTTATGCCTGAACACCGCTCTTGAAAACTTCGTCGCCTCCCACATCAACCCTAAGGGGAGGCCCAAAGACCCTGAGAAATTAGGCAGCAAAGAAAGAGCTGCCCAACCAACTAAGACAACGTCAGCCAACACATCTCACAACAAGAAGGACAAATCAGACGCCGCCAGGACCCCTACTACAGCGGGAGCTCCCGCGTCCACTGGAAAAGCGGGCCAGAAGGACCCTAGGGTCACGTAGGCATAGATCGCGTCATAAGAAAACACTCACAACAAAAACCCTCAGAAGGGAATCGACAACCTAAAGCATTCCTCCATAGGCGGCAGAGGGCCGGCCCCCGCTACCAACGGAAAGAACACAGATAAAACCAACAAACCTAAGGAAAGCCCTAATGACCGCATCTTCATCCGAGTCCCCCCAGACCACGCATGGAGAAAGCTGTCGGCCATCGGGGCTAGACAAGAACTGATCAGGATCTCGAAGCTTACAAACGAGGATATTACTCACTTCCAAGAGGTCCGATCAGGCTTTGCCCTCAGAGGCAAGAATCAAGACATCAAAAACAAAATCATCGCACTCCAGCCGGTGGTAGAGAACGATGGTCTAAAAATTGAAGAAGCATGTTCGTGGAAGGTTTTTCTCGTACGCGGCGTGTCGAAGACGTACACCGACATAAGCGGGACCCACCCCACAGACGCGCTAATCCCGGAGGAGGCACGCGCTAGGGCAGGGGCCAAGAGCCTACCCGTTTCCTGCCGTAAAGCCAACTTCGGAGAATCCCTCGACACGTGTAGCTACTTCATCTCTTTTAATGAGGACGTCAAACCCGGCTTCAAACTCTTCAGCAGCTCCCTCCCGGCGGAAATCCGGGTCCAGCCCCCTCGGGTCACCCAGTGCCTGCGGTGCTTTAGATTCCACAACCCACGGAATTGCACCAGGACTGAAAGGTGCCACAAATGCGGCAAACCGTCTTTCAGACACAATGACACCACGGCTAACTGCTCGTCCCCGCCTCAGTGTGCCAACTGCAACGGCCCTCACACGGCGGACTCCCTGAAGTGCCCCGCCAGACCGGTCGTCAGGAACGGGGAAAAAGTACAGACAACCAAAGCCCAACTCCAGGCAATCCGGGAATTGGGCCAGCAGGAATACAACAAAGCCAACCCACCCAAACCCAAACCCGCCCCCGCCCCGGCCCCCAATGTCGAGAAAACGTCTAACCCGGAGACCCGAACGGGCCCCCGCATAAGGCTGCCAATCTCCAGCTCGGCTCCACCCTTCCCCCCTCAGGCTCCGGCCAAAAAGGTCATCGTTGAAGTCGACTCGGACGAGGAAGATCCCCACGAGGGAACCTCCCCCGCCAGGTCGGCAGTCCACGTGGCCGGCCCGGACGACGAAGAGGAAGAAGCCGAAGGTGACGAAAACATGCTTGACGCCCCCCCTAGAACTGACGGACCTCTCGACGCGAGCCTATGAACGACAGGCCCCGTCGCAGCCGCCGAAGAAACACTGGCCTCAAAATCTTCCAAGCCAACGTCGGGAGGAGCGGTCCACACCAGGACATCGCCCTATCGCTGGCATGGGAAGGTGGCTACGACATTGTGCTGATCCAGGAACCCTACGCCCAATAGGACAGGGTATCGAACAGAAGGCAAACCAAGAATCACCCTGGATATCAAGCATACAACCCCCTGAACAGTTGGAGGGACGCCAGACCCTCAGTTCTCACATTCATTAGAATCTCTCCGAACCTCCCCAGCAAACAACTCTCTCCCCCAGGCCTGGAGGACGGATGCATATGCTGGATAGAGGTATGCGGTTACACCATCGTCAACGTCTACCGAAGGGCTTCGGCAGACTCAGCCACAGAGACCCTCACTAAATGGGGCCCTCCCCCCCCCCGCTCAATCATCGCAGGCGACTTCAACGCCTCACACCAACTTTGGGAACCGGGCAGGGGCGCGGACCCAGCAGGCAACAAAATCGCGGAATGGGCGGAGAAGCACGATCTCCTCCCAGCTCTAACAGACACGCCCACCCGACACTTGGGAAAGTGCATCGACCTGGTCTTCACAAACTGCCCTGCGTCAACCAGGGTCGAACACTCCCTCAACACAGGGTCGGACCACTACACAGTGATCACGAACCTGCCCGAGCCCCTCAGGACAACCCCGGGGGCAGGGAAAAAATACGTCCCGATGGAATGCTGGGAAGACTTCGGCCAACTCATGCGCTCCTTCGCCTGGACCCTCCCCACGGTCGATCTGACCACGCCGTCAGAAACCAACCTGGACGAGTGCGCCAAGGCCCTGCAGGACCTCTTTAAACAAGTCATAGAGGCGGCCGGTAAGACCAGGCACCAGAACGGCCACAGCGCACCGTGGTGGTCGGAGAAATGCAAAGCAGCCCATAGGGCCTATAAAGAAGCGGCAGACGGCTCCCCTGCCCATGAAGGAGCCCGCAAGACCCTCAGAGACTCCATACGCCGCAGCAAGCGAGCTCACTGGGACGAGATCATAGCGGAAGCCAGCGCCACTAGGAACATTTGGTCAGTGGCCAAGTGGCGCAAGGCGACGGACCGCTTTCAACCGCCCCCCCTGATAGACGGGGACAAAAGCATCTCAGACCCCACGGAGAGAGCGACTTTCCTCAGAGACAAACTTCTCAAGCGAAAGACAACAGAGGAAGACATCTCAGACCCATGGGAAGAGGACTTTCCCATTAACAAGAACATCCACTGGGACCAAATAGTGTCGGAGCCGGAGGCCAAGAAAGCTACAACGGGGTCAGGAAACACCGCGCCCGGCGCAGACGGCATATCAGTCGCCCTTCTACAGCTCGCCTGGCCCGCCATCGGCGAGTACGTAACCAACCTTTTCCGCGGATGCCTGATAATAGGATACCACCCACTCCCCTTCCGGAGCGCGGAGATCACCATCATCCCCAAACCTGGGAAGCCGGAGAAGGCGTACACTACGCACAAAGGCTATAGACCCATCTCCCTGCTCTCCTGTATAGGCAAAGGCCTCGAGAGACTCCTAGCTAGAAGAGTCTCCCTCCTAGCGATAGAACACAAAATACTGCCAGAATAATATTTCGGGGCTCTCCTAAAAAGGTCCGCGACAGACCTAGTCGCCTACTTACTACACAACGCCGAAGTCGCCCTGGCCCAGGGTCTCGTCGTCTCCCTCCTTACACTCAATATCTCCGGCGCGTTCGACATCGTCATACGCAACCGCCTAGTATACAGACTTAGGGAACAAGGGTGGCCCCCCCTCTTTGTAAAATGGGTCGACTCCTTTATGAGTGACCGCAAGGCTCTTATTCGAAACGGCTACGGGACCACCCTCCCGGAGACGGAGCTGGAATGCGGAGCCCCACAGGGGTCCCCTATCTCCCCCATCGTCTCCATGCTCTATTTTTCCCCCAGCCTGAAGCTCAATGACCCCAACACCCGCTTCGGGTACGCGGACGACATTGGCATTATGGCAGTGGGGGCCGACACCAAAGAAACCGCCCAGAAGCTCCAGTGGGAATTGGAAGACACCCTAAACTGGGGTGACAGGAACGCGGTCTCCTTCGACCCGGACAAGGCCGAACTCATACACTTCTACAGGACCAGAACCCAAGCACACGGCGAGGGAGTGGACTTTAGAGGAAAGATCATAGCCCCCCAGGACTCAGTCCGGTGGTTAGGGATACACCTGGACTCGCGGCTCTCCTTCAAAAAACACCTCGGGATCATAAAGGGAAAAGCCCTCAAAGCGGCCAATTTCCTAAGATCTCTGAACAAGACACAAAAAGGATCCCCGCCAGACGCAGTAGCCATGGCAGCCAAGGCCTACGTCGCCCCTGTAGCCCTATACGGGACGGAGGCTTTTTGGCCCGGCGAGAGCAGACAGAGCGCGACGAACCCGAACAGACAAGTGGGAACAGGCTCAACGGGACTAACTGCGATCCTGGAACCCCCATTCAAAGCAGCAGCCAGAGCAGTCGTCCCCGTGTAGAAGACGACCAACCTCTCCGTCATACACAGAGAATCGGGAGTCCCCCCGGCGTCAGTATAGGTAGCACAGACCAGACTCCGCACAGCGGCTCGCTTCGCGGGTCTGGACAGGAACCACCCGATCAGCAGACGCATCGACAAGAAACTCCCCCCCAGGGTTCCCCCCACCCAACTGCAACGCACCGCAGCCCTAGTAGGGAAAACAGTCCGACCCTCCCTGTTCGCCAAGAACAACGGAGCGGTCCGAGCAGGCCCGGACTTCAGAGGCCTACCGAAGTCAGAGGCAGCGGAGAAACACCTAGAACTACTCGACGGCCTCCCTAGGTCCACCCTCCTTGCTTACTCGGATGGGTCACAGGATAAATAAGGCAACACCGGCTGGGGAGCCGTCACATACTATGACTTCAAGAGAACCACAGCATGCGGCCCCCTCGCCAACGCGGAGGTCTACGACGCCGAGGCGGTGGGCGCCTTTGAAGCTATAAAGCTAGCCAGGACGCGCGCCTTTGCAAACCCGGACATCCGAGAGATTCTGTTTTTCCTGGATAACTCAGCGGTGGTGGATGGAATACTAGGGCCAACTCCCGCCTCGTCCTAAGGAGCCTACATGGGGCTACGCTAAATCGCCCAGAGACTACTCCCATGGGTAACCACGAGGGTGGCCTGGGTCCTAGGCCACAAAGACGTACTAGGAAACGAAGAAGCCGACCGACTGGTAAAGGAGGGTTTAGAACTCCTTTGCCACTCGAGAAACTGCTCCACCATTACCTTTATTAAAAGGTGGGTGAAAAAGAAACGCAGGGAAATACAGGACGACAACTGGAACGACAACTACCTAGAGTCCTATAAGGCCGGTAGATGGGGCCTCTACAAAGCCCCCTCCATGCCCCCGGAGCTACATCTCCTACGCCTGATCCTACATAGGCTGCTAGCCGAAAGGTCTGGACACGGGGACTTTATAGAATACCATGAGAGATTCGGATACGACGCCAGGCCCACCTGCAAATGCGGGGAGCCAAAGACACAAGGGCACTTTGTAAAGTACCGCATGGTAGCCCCTTTCCTCCCCGACATACCGGAGAGGGAAGCGCGCTTCGGAACCACCCATATCTAATACCTCCTCGGTGACGGGGGGTACAAGGATTTCCAGAAACTAGTGGAGGAGACAAGCCCATACGGCCCCCCCCCTACAGAAACAGACACGTAAAACAGATTAATACTTCCCCATTTCCTTTGTCACATTGAAACGTAGCGAACGCCCGATCTGAACTCGGCGGCTCCTACCGTCCTAGTGCCCAGATGAGGACTTATGTAACTAGCTTACTTAGTGGACGTTAATAATAAAACAAACAAACAAACACAGAACACATACATGTGGGGTTACAAACCAGGTGTTATTCCTACGTCTGACTGTGCTGGGTCTGTTCTCGCCGTTGGCGAAGCCGTAAGCCGCGTTAGATTGGGATCTCGCGTAGCTGCAACATTCCACAGGAAGTGGCTAAAAGGTGAACTCACCTCGATTGCCGAAGCATCTCAAATTGGTGCGCATTCGGACGGCGTGTTGCGTCAATACGTCGTGTTTTCGGAAGAGGAACTTGTCATTGTTCCCTCACATCTGAACTTCATTGAAGCAAGCACACTCCCTTGTGCCGCTGTCACAGCCTGGAATTCACTGTTCTGTGGTCGTAGAAGTGTGAAGCCTGGAGACGTTGTTCTGACGCAAGGCAGTGGAGGGGTGAGCTTATTTGCAATTCAATTTGCGAAAGCTGCTGGTGCGACAGTAATTGCCACTACAGGCGAACTACACAGCGAGCGTGAAAATCTTCTGAGGCAGGTCGGAGCAAACATTGTGCTCAGCTATCGAGACTCAGATTGGGGAGAACAAGCTAAAGCGGCAACAGACGGACGTGGGGTCGACTTCTTGCTGGAAATGTCCGGCGCAGCAGCTCAGAGCGCGGCGGCCCTAAGAGTTGGCGGTGACATTATTGTCATAGGAGGCTCGGAGGGTTCCGGGGGGTCGATATTTGATATGCGATTTGTCCTTGGCGAGGTTCGACGCGCCGCAGTGGGGAGTCGTGAGCACTTTGAGTGCATGAATCGTGCTATTAGTGCTTGCCACCTCCAACCGGTGATAGACAAGACAGATTGGTCATTTGAACAAGCTCGAGAAGCGCTGCAGCATGCGAAGTCCGGAAAGATAGTAGGCAAGGTTGTTATAAAGGTTGCGGCAGATCAGGAGTAGGGTCGATGAATTTGGTCGGGATTTGATAACAAATATAGAAATGTGTTCAAAGTAGAGGTCTTGTTTATGGTTCTAAGTTGATAGTTGATCCCCTAATCCAACAAACCGTAAGGTTTCGGCAATGACTCATGTTCCAAACTGGAGACCAGGACTCTCTAGTAAGTGTGGATCACCAGATAGGCTATATCACTCATGCTATGCCTTCTTCTTAAATTGATGAGAATCGTGTCTCCAGGCTGGACAATGCCTCACCCTAAAGTACGTTCTATACAACGAGGATGTAGTAGAGAGTATGATCTCAATATGCAGATTGTTACGACAACTTGTATAAGTAGTCGGAGCAAGTATTTGATTAGTCGCTTTAACAACGAACAAATAGTCTTTCTCTAAGTTCCAATAGATGATAGCTTGAAAATATGCAGCTCCGCTAGCCGAAGTCTGTCAGCGATATTTGCCCAATCACTGATCTCATCTTAATCACCTGTGCCCATGCTTGTTGGTTTTAGCCATGGTCCAAGTTCGATATGGCGTGTAATCTAGGACTAGAATTGCTATATTGGCATAAGATTGACAATATTTGGCTTAGCGTTGAACTTCAAGCTAGACGGAAGCTCAGGTGAGAAGGGTGCAACACGAGTTATTCAATTCTTCCAAGAGGGGTGGAGAGTAATTCATAGTAGACCGATTTACGTGCTTAAACTAACATGGCACCCGAAACGGAACACAGGTAACTTTTCAGCGCCGTTACCATGATGTATGAGCCGATTCAAATTGCCATCAACGTATTTTGTCAAGGCTTTACTTCCAAGTTAAGAAAAGGGATTGAGGTACAGGGGTCGGTATAATATTCCAAAATACAGAGCCTGAGTACGTAGTATAAATTGAAAAGGAAAAACCTACTTTACGATTTAAGCCCAAAACATTTCTTTACGATACAGTAAAGAGAAGAAAATACAAAACATGGTTGTGCTCATAAAGAAGACCAACTAGTGATTCTTGACATTGTATCTGTCTTATAGTAATAACTACTCCAAGCTCATGTGGACCGTCTTGACCTGCGTCATGTCATATAGCTCGTGTAAACTGTGCTCGCGACCCATACCTGACTGTTTATATCCACCAAACGGGAGCCCCAAGAAATGCGTCGAGCTAGTGTTGATCCAGCAATAACCCGCCTCCATTCTCTTGACAGCCTTCTGCGCCGTAGCAGTATTGGTGGTGTAAATGGAGCCTGTCAAACCATATTCCACCGAGTTGACCTCCTTCCACAGTGTGTCTTCGTCACTCCACTTGAGAATAGCCATGACCGGGCCAAAAATCTCTTCCTGGGCAATTCGCATGTTTTGTTTGACATTGGTAAAGACTGTGGGAGACCAAAAGCAACCCCCGGATAGCTCTCCGCTCAAACTCGGCGTTCCCCCCCCAGTGGCCAGCGTCGCCCCCTCAGCCCTACCGATCTCGACGTACTTCTTCACTCGCTCTATAGCTTTGGTATCTACGAGAGCGCCCATGGTTGTTTCGGTTTTCAGAGGGTTTCCCGGTTTATGTTCCGCATTAATTCTTTCGACGACTTGCTTGACTACCTCGTCGTGAATTGACTCGTGGAGAAAGACGCGTGAAGTCGACGAGCACGATTGCCCACACCAGAACCAGTTCATTCCTTTCACAATCCCTTCAACCAACTTTGGGATGTCAGAATCTTGATAGGCAACTAGAGCGTTCTTGCCACCGAGTTCCAGAGTGGTGAGTTTTAGCGTGTCAGCGGCGCTGCGGGAGATGGCTCGCCCTACAGGCACGCTGCCGACAAGAGTGACTTTTTTCACAACGGGGTGACTTGAAAGGACCTCTCCACTCTCACGGCCACCGGCCAATACATTGACAACTCCAGGTGGGAAAAGGTCACCAATGATCTCCATCAGTCGGAAAGCGGACAGCGGTGCCTGCTCCGAGACCTTGACGACGACCGTGTTACCCATGACCAGTGGTGTCACCATCTTGATGGCCATGCCCAAGAATGGATGATTGTACGGGATAATGCGCGCCACCACACCTAGAGGTTCTCGGATCATGTAATGGAACATGTCGTCCGTCAAGCGGTGGGTCTCCCCCGTCACAGCCGGAGCCAGACCGGCGAACAGGTCAAAGTTCATGGCGGAGTACTCGACCTCAGCCCGCATGATAGAGATGGGGCTGCCAATGTTCCAAGCATCCAAAGTAGCAAGCTCCTCGGCATGATCGCGCACGACCTGAGCCACCTTGCGCATGATGTTGCACCGTTCTAGCGTGGAGACAGAGCGCCATCCTTCAAAGGCCTTGTCGGCAGCTTCTAGTGCAGAAACTGTATCTTCTTTTCCGGCAAAGGCGACTTTGGTGATTATCTTGCCATTTATGGGACTAATAATCTCTTGGTAAAAGCCATCCCTGGGCCTATGGAATGAACCATTCACGTACAGCCCCGGATTCTTTGGGAGGGATTGCGGGGCACTAAACTCGTCAATCTGCGCCATGATTTAGATGATTTTGAGTTGGGAAAGTAAGATGGATGGTTTCAAAGTATTTGATACAGTAGTGATGGCTTCCAAGCTTATAGACGTCTCGGCCAGTCGACAGTGAGCAGATCGTGTGCTAGCCATGCCTCTGTCGCAGGCAATTTAAAGAAATCGGGAGTCACCGGCTGATCCGATGTTGATTTCTAAGCCCCGAGATGGTCACCATGGCCATCACATAGCCGGTTCCAACAAGGAGAGACCTCAAGAGAGCCACGCCGACTCACTCAGATTCGTCAGTATGTTCACCTTCCTGGTAGGCTTACGGAAACAGGCCGACACATGTTTATACGTTACCGGGCCTGAACAGCCAATTGGAAGCGCGGAATCGCTCGAGCCGATTCGGCTTCGGCTTGTCGGGGCCGGCTACCTTGATACGTCATCCTATTGGTCGACGAGTCGGTCTACTACTAACTAACGGCCATGTTCTCTGTCGTTGGTAAGGTACGTCGACAGAGTTATAGAGAGGTTCAAGAAGGTTAAAAGTAAATGATTGAAGTCAGAAAACATGATAGACATCGTTAATTTCTGCTTCGTTGAGATTGACACAACTTCCACTCCTCAGCTTCCGGCACCTCAGTTGTTAGATACACAGAAATGGATTCTCTTCCTGCAGAGACGCTTAATATCAACTGGCTGTGGGTTTTGGCTTATTTGATTGGACCGGGATTGCTTCTTGTAGAGTTTGTACGTATTTGATGGAGAAACGCTTTTCTTCTTCGAGCGGGAATGTCAGCATTAGCTATCTATAGCCAGGAAGCTGACTCATTGGCAGTACAGGTATTTTACAGATCCGCTGAGGAATGTGCCTGGACCTTTCATAGCCAAACTGACAGCGGCGTGGATGTTGTATATCGACCTGTCTGGACAACGAAGCAACACCATTCACAATCTCCACAAGAAATATGGCCCGATTGTTCGCGTGAGTCCATCCGAAGTGTGCTTCGCCTCGCCAGCGGCCCTCATGGAGATCTACGGAGCTCATTCCAAGTACCCTAAGGCAGCCGTGTACGACTGCCTAGGGTTCAAAAGCACCTTCACTACTCGTAATCGAGATGAGTACCGGGTTATGAAGAAACGCATCATTCCGAGCTTCAGCCCGGCTGCTGTGGCCGAAATTGAACCCACTGTGCACCGACAGCTTGCATTACTCATTAAGTGCTTTGATAAGCGTCTCAACGACCCCCTGGACGTTTTGCCTTGGTTTCGTATGCTAGCGCTTGGAGTTGTTGGTAGGTTCTTATGCTCAGCAGAGCTATGACGGCATGAATGCTGACTTCCGCTGAATGTAGGACAGAGCTTCGTCGATGACAGTTTCGGTGGACTGCAGAAGGAGGAGTTACCTGATCTTCTGAATCACATTGACGAAGTTTTCCCTGTTCTTTGGGTCAAATGGATGTTTCCCCTAACGACTACTATACTGCAATATGTCCCTCTAAACTCTATTCAAAAGTTTCTCGATAGCCCAGCACGCTTCAAAAAGGTAGATTGCCTTGCATACAACCCACATTTGCTTCTCGGAGTGTCTAACTCGGCTATGAACAGTACTGCGGCAGCGCGTACGAGACTTATCTCGCATCTCATGACCCTGTAGAGCACCATGACTTAATTGCAAGAATGGTCACCGAAAAGAGATCCCTGGAAAGGAGTAACGAAAGCATCCCACGGCATCTAACAGATACAGGTATCGTCGAAGAACTTACCAACTTGGTATTTGCTGGAACCGACACAACCAGCAACACCCTCGCGTATCTATTTTGGGAACTATCCCATCAGCCAGAGTGGCAATTCCGGCTTCGTGAAGAAGTTCAGCAAGCTGTTGGACTGGAGCGTGAGAGCTTCTCGTATAGTGAGATCTCGGAACTTCCTGTCCTTGACGCAGTGATCATGGAGATCCTGCGACTTCGCCCAGCTGGTCCGGCCGGACTACTCCGACTGGCGCCAGAAGGCGGTGCCGTCATTGATGGAGTAGCTATTCCTGCTTACGTATGTTACTAAACTCCCAGTTTACTCGTGGTAGTCGATTCTAGTCACCTCGCCTCTATGCTCTGCGCGGAAAGAAATGCTAATGTACTCGCAGACTACTATATCGTGCCAAGCATTGACCTCACAGCGTGATCCCACAATTTTCTCAGACCCTGACCGCTTTGATCCGCAACGATGGATCGACGGGAAGAAGCATGGAACAGCAGATCGAATGCGCGACCAGCTACTTGTCTTTGGGAAAGGTACCAGGACCTGCCTTGGACGGCGCATTGCAATTATGGAACTCAAGTCTACCTTGGCGGTCTTGACAAGGAGATATAATTTTGAGGTTGGGAGCTTGACGACAGACGATGACATGGAGATGACGGATCATTTTGTACTTATTCCCAAAGGCGGTAGATGCTTGCTACGACTCACAAAGGCATAAGCCTCACAATGGCGGGAGGATCCGAATAGGGAGATGAAACTCTTGGCTCGAAACCAGCGTGTAGCTCAGGTCAAAAACATTAACAGCTTGTGTACTCATAAGGTCAAAAGACGCAACATGTTATTTGTGAAAACTCGATCAGCTATGGAAAGACAGGCAAACAGGGAATTTTCCAAAGTTTGTTTGGGTCTCCGACGATGAGACCTCTCCGTCTTGCGCGGAAGACTTGGAACGCTTCGATAGGACCACCTCAACATAGTTCAGTGCCTGAAGACCATCTTTTCCTCCATTCGTTACTTTTGCCGTCACGCCATTGATCGCTAGGACTTTGGTTGCCATAAAACGGCACCGAAGACTGCAACGTCGGCACAACGCGAAACTCAAGCTCTAATTGGTCACTTGTCGCGGCAAGTCCGACTAGTTTGGCCATAAGTCTTCCGATGGAGACCCGAACCAATCAGTATCGTACAAAACAAGCCGGAGGGTAGGGGACTGTAAAAGGAGCGCATATCGAGTTGAAATAGACAAGACTATTAAAACATCATCCGCCTATCGTTGTATATGAGCCGCTCATTTCTTCCTCGGTACTTGACTTGTCTATAGCGATCTAGGCCTTTTGGGTACTGCTTGCCGTATAGCTTCGCCATTTACTATTAAATGCCGTGTTTAACAGCTGTTGGAAGCTTGAGGATCAAGCGAGCAGATTAAGCCGTTGGTCGCGTGGCTGACTCGATCACAAAACAAGAAAGTGCCTTGACTATCCTCGGTTAGAATTACTAACCTTTGCGAGAGGCTGGGATTTTCTGTAGAAAGGGCGAGAGTCGCAACTATCCTAACGTTGCCGTGCAGGTAACTATGGGAAGATTGAGTGTAGTTTAGGGCCTATGATACTTTCGTTTAATAGAGTGCTGCAGCGGCTGATCCCAGTAGACATGGAGATCAATATCTGTCATGTCGTCGCAGCCTAACGGCTCGTTTTCGTCACCAGCGTCTAGACCGCTGTTCCCCGCGTAAGCCTTCTCCGCCTTTATTCCCCGCACCCACTAAATTCAAGCACATGAGTGGAGGTATTGTGAGGTTGCCGCTTGAGCTGGAAAAAACTGCTCCATGTAACCACACTTCAAAAGTCTGCCTGCAAGGGACCTAACAATCCAACAACAGTCAATATAGAACCGGTAATGCTCTGTTATCCAGGTCTGCTTCACGGCCTATCGTGATTGGGATTGGTAGATCATGAGCCCTCAACGGTCGGAGCCCATTGGGCGCCATCCTATCCTTGCTCCACGTCCGCTTGCTCCCAGGGCCCCGCGTTCAGGATCCACCGCTACATCCAATGCAGGCCCGGATAACACTCAAAGGATAGGGGAGAATGAGGTTGCTGGAACATCTGCTGCGCGACGAACAAAGCGGACGCGCGTGGCATGTCGTCGATGTCGGCGGTCCAAGGTTGTTCAACTACCCACTAAACCACACTCAACGAGCTTAGTGTGCGCACCTCGCCGCATGTGAATATTGGGACTGACTTCCTGATGCATACATGTAGTTGCGATGCGAGGCCTCCTCCGAGAGTAGTCAACCATGTCAGCGTTGCGCCGACTTAGCTCAGCCCTGTGTGTTTGACGAGAGATTCCAGCGTACCAGCAAAATGACGTAAATTCACCCCTGTCCTGTGTGTGCTGCAATGCACTTTTGACGAATTAGCTTTCGGCTTCCAGTGCTAACCACGCATCTGCAATGCCCTCAGACGTGCTACCGATCAGTTTGATGTCCTCAAAACATTTGGCGATATGCCCGCGAGAAACTCTGATCCTCCATCTGCCGCGCCGACGGCATCCGCGTCATCACCGCCAATATGCGCATCGACGATTCCTGAACCAATTGAGGCCCAAAGATTGTCGGAGAGCAATCAGAGCAATCATAGCGCAGACTTGAGCTCTTCACGATATCTCTTTGAACCCAAATTCGCCAATGGAGGCATGTCTATATCACAAAGAGCCTCCGTGACGCGGCAAATTGAGTCAGTCGCGCTAAGTCCCAATCAAATTGACTTGTATTTTAACATGTAAGATACTTCAAATTACTATTTGATACAGCAGCATGTGGAAGAGCTGATATATAGCTTAGTTACTACACTTACTACCACACTGGCTTGCCCATGCTTCCGCCTTCCGTATCGCCGGACGTCGTCTACAAGGCTTCACCCGTGCTCTTCTGGACCATAGTTGTAACCGCCGCTCGACACGACTGCACTGACTTCTCTCTTCTACCTGCCCTCATGCCGGCCGTTAAGAGGCTGCTTTGGACGACTATAGCGTCCCCTCCTCACACGCTGCCATCCCTACAGGCCATGATCTTGCTTTGTCTTTGGACGTTTCCCGTCTCTACCATGCCGGAAGACATCACCTACATCCTGGCAGGTTTGCTAAAGTCTGGGGCCATACATGTCGGGCTCCACAGGCCAGAGATTCTTGAGCTGTACTCTCGGAACCGGGCTCCGCTCGGTAAGGCAGAGCTATTCCAGGCTGTCAGAGCTTGGTGTTGCATTTACTTAGCCGTCGAAGGGTAAGACACATTGTTCCCATCGGATCCCGGTCTTGTCTTATGCTCGTGCGAGTTGACGATGTGATGATATTTACAGTGCATCATTGGGTAATGGCCACCTTCCTGTTCTTCCGCACGACCGCACCATACAGAAGGTCGCTTCCGAAGCGAATCCGTACGAGCTGCCTGAGCCATTGTATATTGGAATTCTCACGCAGCGCTTTTTGAACAAGGTCCACATGGCTTTTGGCAGTCTGGAAGACTCTTATAAAGTCTCAATGCTTAGTCTCTTTGAGCCGGACCTCCAAGAGTTGGAGGTCAAGATGGCTGCATACCAATCTCGTCAGTATTCCCTGAACGTACATTGCCAATTTCTTACCTTCAGTCAAAGGCTTGCTTGTATCGAGACTAAGTAGAGTAGATCGATCCTCCATTTACTACTCCGCGGTCAACTTCCAGTTGAAGGCATACGCGATCTTTGACGATGAGGATTCCGATACGCGTAGATTGGCTGTTCTGCGAGCCTTCACCGCGGCTTTAGGCTACATCGATGCCCTCCGACGAGGAGATGAAGCCGACGTCCCGATGCGGTATCTGCCCTTCCCACTCTTGAGGATGTGCTTTACCGCCGCCGTCTTTATCTCCAAGGTTCTGCACTCCAGTTATGGCCAGTTTGTCAATCAGGATCTCGCAAAAGCAGCATTTGCCACCTGTATATCCGTACACAAGCAGTGCTCGGTCGAGGACAACGACATGGACGGTCGAGTCACCACTGTCCTTCCACAGCTGTGGGGAATACATAAGGACATCTTCGAGGCTTCCCCAACCTTACCGCCGCGCCTATCGTTGCGATCGCGTTCGTTCTTGAGTATTGCACATGACGGGCTATGGCAGTGGAGGGCTGTGTATGCAGGCAAACCAAGCAATGGGGCGCCTAGTATTCCGCCACCCCTAATCTCACCTGTCTCCATGGGATTGCTGAGCCCAACTACAGCTGTAGATCCTTCCGAGCGATCTCTTTCTACGAATTCGGTCTCTTTGAGCCACGCCAGCCACATTGTACTACCAACAGAACCTGTAAATATTTCTGGGCAAAGACAAAATTCCAACAGGAACGACGACGACCAGCAGCAGCAGTATCTACAGGAACCAACTCCGTCCGGATTCACCGTCAGTGATAATGCCGCTCACGAATCATGGACGTCTACATGCGACGCGAATGATACTCTTACCAGTATGGGCCTAGTTGATCAATATGCTATGCCACTCGATTTACTATTCTCAAGCCATGCTATGGAGCCAGGCTCTTCTCGAGATGCAAACTTTGCTGAATTATTGATGATTGGACAAGAAATGACCACGTCATGAATCCCTATAATTGCGCATGACGGTTAAATAGCCATGGTATGCGAATAGGCGACGACTTCGACACCTTTGACTCAACCACCCGGGATTTGTAAGCTAAACTCAGCGACAGGCCATGACCTTAGCTTGAATGGGTAATTTTGAGATACTGTTATCAATCGGTTGCATTATAGTGGGAAGGGGGAATAAAAAGTATAAAAGATTTAGAAAAATAACTCGGGTTGACGCAAAAAGGGGAATGCATGTACAAACAGCGTAACCATTAATGAAACGGGCGTAATGAAACTATCGCTAATTTGGCCTCGATCAGGCGCCACGAAGTCGAATTCCTCGAACATTCAGTCCTTGAAATGAGTTTTCACAGACGTCGTAGTCCACAACGACTCCACTGTCCATACAGTTTATCTTTGGTCGACACTCTCAAACTGAGTCCCAACTTCCCAACACAGAGTTTCACTGAGTTAGTTCGATCGATCTCGATAACTCACGTTTCGTCGCTTGCTACCAGGGAATTGATAATTGGCCTTTGCAACATCGAGAAAAGCCTTTCTAGAACCCATTTTAGGCCTCGACTCTTGAAGGACTCTCGAAGGAGTCACGGCAGAAATCCAAGGCGCTCCGTATCAGCTGGGTTTGTAAAAGTTAATAAACGCCTGATAGTTCTAACAGCAGAGGGACAGAGAGTAAAGTGACGGAGAACCTAACTTCCATATTGAAAAAGAACAAACTTGAAAATAGGGGTGGGCTCTTCCTTTGGTAACCCGCGAAATATAGTAAACAGTGCACATATATTTTTTATCACTAGGCAGGGGACTAGCATAAATTCGAGTCACAAGAGAACGCTTAGTTATATTAAGCTTCCCTCCTACATCTACAGGTACCCTACCTTTTAAATACCTAACTACTAAAAATCCTTACCCTATTTAACTAACTATTAAATAAAACAACTTCGATTTTTACCTTTATAATCTTATCTAAGGACTTTAGAGAGATAGAAATATTTATAAACCGTTTAGATAATTAAAATAAAATAAATCCTATTGCCCCTGGACCTATAATGGCTTTTAAACCTTTAAAAGAAGTAACCCCTTTAGGCCTAAAAACGAAAGAGGTTATAATCCTCCTTTTTACTTTTAAAAAAAAAAAATACTTTAAAAAAGCCCTTAGTATAAATAAAATACCTTTACTTAGCTTTAATAAAGTAAAACCTAGCGTAGTAGTAGTAGTAATTATAGTATAAATAGCTTTAAAAAGCTTTATTACTTTTATTTTTAATAATATAAAAAAAGTTATTAACTTAAATAAAAAAAGAAAATCTTTTATTAAAAATAAAATTATAAATAAAATTAATAAAATTAATATATAATAATAGGCTAAATAAAATATAGTATTAAATATAGCTATAGTTATTAACTCTTACTATAATATCCTAACTTAATACTTAATTAATATAGGGTAAGTTCCTAAGGTAATAAGCTAAGGTTAATTAATTTATATTAGTAAAAAAAATAAAAAGTAGTTTTAAGTAAATATAATTATAAAGTAAGTAAAATATAATAAAGATTTAGTTTATATTTAATTTTAATACTTAGTTAATAATTATTTATTTAAGTTATTTAAAAAGTATAAAAAATTAAATTTTATATATTTAGTTATTTCCTTATATTATTATTAAATTATAGTTCCTTTAGATTATAATAGCTTATAGTTATAATTTATTAAAAGTATATTATATAACTAATTTTTTCCTAATTAACCTTTTAGTTTATACTTTACCTAAGGTATATACTTTTACTAAATTAAGTTATAATATAATACTCCTTTTTTATTAATTTTATCCTTAAGACTAATATAAATAAATATTACTATTTTTTTATTATTAATTTATAACTTTCCTTTTTTTTATTTAATAGTATAATAGTATATTTAATTAGGTTTTAAAAAGCTTATTATATAAATTTTATAAATATTTTTTTTAGTAAATATTATTAAAGAATTAGGGTTTTTAGTAATAATATATTTTTCTTATAAAAAGTATAATATAAGTAATTATTATAAAATAATAAATAAAGTATTTTATTATAAAGAATATATTTATTATAGTTATTTTTATAATAAAAGCAGGGTTTTTATTAATATATATAAGTATTTTTTATTTTTTTTAGAATTCTTTTTTTAATAATTATAATAGTAAGTTAAATAATATTTAAATATAAGTAGTTATATATATAAAAAAAAAGGTTAAGGAGTAGTTAACTAAGTATTTATAAAAGGCTATAGAAGCTTTAGCTTATTTATTATATATTTATTTTTAAAAAGAGTTTTTAGTATATTAAAATATAAAAATAGTTAATTAAGGTTTAAAAAGCCTAAATAAGTTAAATAATATTAAAAAAGCTAAGTCTAAGGTAGTAATTAATATTTAAGTAGTAGGGATAGTAAATATAATTAATTAAAATATAGTTTTTAATAATACTTTTCTAAATCCTTTTAAAATTACTGTTAATTTTTTTTTTTTAAATCTCTAATTTAAAGTATAAGGGTTTAGATTTTCTTATATTATAGAAGGAAATCCTAGCGTCCTTTTTTTAAATTATTTCTTTATTTATAAAATAGCTGGTATTAGGAGTTTTAAGTATAATCTTAATTTTTTTTAAAGGTTTTAAATTAGTTTTATTATATTAAAGCTTTTAATAAGTTCTTATATATTATAAATTAAATTATACTTTTTTTATTTAACTTAGTATTTTATTTTATTACTTTTTTCTAAGTTCCTTTATATTATTAAAACTTTTTTAACTTTTTATTTTTCTTTATTTTTAATAATAATAATTTTATCTAAGATTAGTCTTTTTATTACTTTATTAATTTATATATTTTTTAAAAGCATTATATAAAATATAAGGTATTTTAATTATATAATTTTTAGTATTTTTAATTTATAATTAATATTATTAATTTTCTTTAAAGTTTTAAATAAATTAATTTTTCTAAAGTTAAATATATTATTTAATTAATTTATTTTAATATTTAATATTTTATAGCCTTATATATATTAAAGTAAGTAAATTATATTCCTTTTTTAAAAAATTAGTTTTTTAATTTTATTTTTATTTATATAGTATTTTATATATTTTTAAATAAGTTTTAGCTATACTTTTAATTCTTTATATAAATTAATTATTAATTTTACTTAAAATTATATTTTATTAGTATTAGGTTTTTTTAAAGTAGTTTATATACTAAAGGAGTATATTTATATAAAGTATAAAAGGGTATTAATTTAGTAAATTTAAATTTTATATTATTATATTATAATTAAGTAAAAGGTAGTTTATTAACTTTATTATTTTACTATAAATTAATAAAATACCTTAGGTATTATTTAATAATCTAATTTATTTATTTTATTTAATTATTTATTTTAAGATAATATATATTACTAAGTTTATAATTTACTTTAAATTTTATTATAAGTTTTTACTAAAATTTAAAAGTAAAAGTTTATTTTTTATTTAAGATAATTTCTTAAGGTATATTATAATTAATTATTATTATTCTTAAATATATATATATAAAATCTTTTACTAAGTATAATTTTTAATAAAGTAAAAAGTATATTTACTTTATAAATTTATTTACTATTATTAAAATATTATTATAAATTACCTTAATAAAAGGTTTTTTAAAAAGTAATAGGTTTATAATATAATTAAAGGTAATTATTCTTTATAGTAATTTAGGTATTAGTAAAGGTTATAGTTTTTTATAAAGCTTATATCTTTTATATTTAATATATTAATACTTATTATAGGTTATTATAATATTAGTAATAATTTTCTTTATTTTTTTAAATTAATATATTATAAGTATTTATTAATATATAATGATAATTTTTGAATATTTAAATAGTAAATATTTATAAATATATTTTATAACTTTTTTTTATAAATTAAAGAGTACTTAATATTTATTATTATTTATAAAATATTTATTTTATAATATAACTTATAATAAAAACTAATATAGTTTTTAATTTTTTATATATTTTTTAATTTCTTTAAAGAGTTTATTATATTTTTATACTTTAAAAATTAAGTTAAAGGATCTTTATTTATAATTACCTTATATATTTTAATATAATATAATACCTTAGTAATTAGGAATTTTTTAAAAATAGTTAATTTCTTTACTAAAAGTATTAGCTTTTTATTTTTTAATCCTTTATAATATATAAGTTTATAATTAAATTTACTTAAGAATTTAAAATATTTTAATTATTATTTAAATAGCTTTTAAGTAAATGTAAAATAAATAATATTTTAGTAATTAATAAAGATTTTAATTTAAAACTTACTTTTTTTATAATATTAGCTTTATTACTTTAAATAATTTTTAATTTTTAAAATTTTTTTATTATAAATTATATAATTAAGCTTAGCTTTAATAACCTTTTGTAAATAAAATATAATAGAATAGGGCTTTTTTTATTATTTTATTAATTTAGTACTTTTTTAATTATATACTTTAATATATTAATTTTAATTTTTATTAGTTTTTTAAGGTTATATATAATTAAAATAAATTTTAAAGTTATAGCTTACTTAATTATTTAAAATACTTATTTTACTTTTTTTATTTATTTAAACTTTTAGTTTTTTTTTATTATATTAGTTAAAGATTAAGTAAAAACTAAGAAGTTTTAAATAAAATATTAATAATAATTAGTTAATTTATAAAAACTTTATACTTTTTTAATTAATATTAATATTAGCTATTTATTAATAATAATAACTCTTTTAAGGTTTATTTATATAAATTTAAAGGTAATAATATATTTTAAGAATTTTATTTCTTAGGTATAAAATTAATATTTCTTAGGGTTTATAAAAAGGTAATTATTTAATAAAATTTAAAGTATTAAATATATATATTTTTTATATCTTTCTTTAGTTTTAAAATATATTAAAATATTATTTAGGTAAATAATAATAAATGTATTTTAATATTTTTGAAAAATATAGTTAATTTTTTTTTAAAAAAATATAAGTATATTTATTAATTTTTAAAATATTATTAAAAATATATAAAATTCTCCTAAGGTACTAAAGGTTATTATTTATTTATATTCTTCTTTTATTGAAGTTAATTTATAAGTATTAGTAAAATTTAATTAAGTATATATTATAGCTTTTTATAATTAATCTTTTACTTTAGATATTAATAATAAAGGAGTTTAATTTTTAATAATAATATTATTTAATTATTTATAATTAATAATTAAGTATAGTTTTTTATTTTTCTTTAAAATAAAAATA